CCTCCCCACCCCATGGCCCAGAGCCTCCCCCGGAGCACCCACGTCCACATGGGCAGGATGCATCTCCCTGGGGTGCAGGGAGATCCTGCAATGGGGGGGTCCTCCCTGCACCCCCAGCCCACCCTCCCCCTCCCTGGGCATAGCCCAGGCAGGGAGGGGACCAGGACCCTCCTGGCTACCATGGGAGGTGGCTCTCAGCGTGATGAGGTGGCCTTGTCCCCCCTGCCATGCATAGGCAGGGACCCCGGGCATCCCTGGGCATCTCCCACCCCCTTACCTTCACCTCCTTCTCCACGTAGTCGTGCAGCAGGATCTGGGGGTCGATCAGGTAGTCGGGGGGGTAGAGGGGCACCGAGTGCAGCGGCCGCCGGTAGACGCTGCTGCGGAGCGCTGGCCTCCGAGCTGCCTTGGGGAAAACGAGCCGCTTGATGGGCGACACGAAGCCCTGGCAGGGAGAGCGGGCACCGGGACACGTCAGTGCTGGGCACCCAACCCTGGCAGCCATGCGTGGGGTCCGCGAGCACCCGGTGCCTGAGGAGGGGCTGGGCACCTCTCTGCTCGCTGATCCCAAATTTGCACCATTTGGGCGGTTCCAGGGGCAGCGAGTGGCGACCCCACGTCTCCCTGCTGTGTCGTGGGAGGGGGTGCAGGGCCCCTCGTCCCGGCGTCCCTGTGCATCTCGCCCGCTCCCATCCTCCCGCCAGCCCCCCGGGACACCAGCCCCAGGCCCACGCACCTTCTTCCCCTTCTTGGCCTCGCAGTCCATGGCGGGGCCGTGGCACTGCCTCCCAGCACAGCCGCCCCCCCCGCCCCGCTCGGCGCCGCTGCGTTTTCCTGTGTCGGAAACTCCACCAGGATGGCTGGGATGTGAGTTCCTGCCCCTCCTGGGGGGGTGCTGGGACTGGGCTGGCCTGGGCTGGGCTGGGCTGGCTTCGTTTTCCGGTGTCGGAAACTCCACCAGGATGGCTGGGATGTGAGTTCCTGCCCCTCCTGGGGGGGGCTGGGCTGGTACTTGAGCAGAAGCAGGGGCTGAAGGAGGGTGGGATTGGGACGGCGGGCACAGGGGG